CTTTCAGGACCTTGGACAGTGTGAAGGGCTGAAGGAACTGTCCAAGGTCCTGAAAGTGCTGGAATGTTTCAGTTCCCTCAATCCAAGAGCCACAGAGAATTGACTAATGATCTTTTTCTGTACTATGTCCTTATTTTAGCATCAGACAAATGGCTTTTTAGTGAAGTCTTTTTTTACCTGATTAGCTGGATTGTGATAAATTGTATCTCTAAGATTATAAATGAAAAAGTTGTTGAAATAAAGCACAAAAAATTAACACTAAAACATTTTACCAATTAGGTTATGCATGTTCTAAAAGCTACAGAAAACATAATTTGGAAAAAGTTATTTGTATTTTTATAAAATGATGTGTTATCTAACATTTTCCAATAAATGATGCCTGGCTTTGACCAAGTTTAGAATTTTGGCCCCCTTGTGAGTTTGACCCGCCTGCTCTAAAGGAGCCCGTTTCTGCCATCATAGTTTTATTTTGAAATGATTTTTAAGTGAAAAAAGACCACAGGTACTGCCAGAGTGCATGCAGATTCCTCCATGTTGATCCATAGGACTGGTAAAAATGAAAAACACAAATCTGGCTAACACAATGAGCAGGATAGAAATATCTTCAGCAGCATGATTTTTGCTAAGTGGACCATAAGTCATCATAAGTCTTCAAAATTCAAATTCTTTAGATATTGAATAACATATTGGAAGTCTACTCAATAAATAGAAACAAAAGCTGAACAATTTTATTCACTAGATGAATGAAAGATTGGCTGGAAATGCTAAAGATTAGAAAGACAAATTAAATGTCACTTACTTGTAAGACTTTGCCCTGAGGACTCTCATCAAACAACAAAGCCTGTTGGTAGGTGGGGTCCAGATTCTTCTTCACTACTTTGGTTTTCTTCTTCGCCAAGCACATTCCATTTTCTAACACATACACTTTCACATAGGTGGCTGGAACAGAACGAATAAATGAATAAATAACACTTCCCRCCAGGAAATAACAAAATAAACAGTACGGTAGTTTTAACAGGTCAGGTTAGTACCTGGTATGTTTTTGGAGCCTGGTTTTGGGGTCAACCTTCTGGCTTGGTTCACCTCCACCTCCAGCTGTCCTCCTCGGTCAACCATACCTATATGGACATCCCCTAAAATAAATAATAAATAAATAAAATAACATTAAATTACAAACTGGTTAATGTTAAAAACAAGGCAATGTCGGCTTGGTCTTTAGATGAGAATGCTTCTTGAAGCTGCAGTAGTTGATTTTTAACAGCAGAGGGAGTCAAAGAGCTATCAGCCTTTAACAACAGGCACACAAAAGAACTCTGAGCATCAAATATTTATTCCTTCTTCTGAATGAATACACAAGTATTGTGTGGTATTTTTAGATACAAAGGCACAGTTAGATGTAAGGGAAAGAAGGAAGTTCAAAAGRATCTGTCTCCAAACAACTTCAGTCACCTATAACAGCATAAATCATTAGAAAACAACATACTGTGTGAGGCATTCATACTGTCTTCCTGTGTTATTTTCAGTCTAACTACTTTTGCACACTTTGTGTTGTTTCAGCTATTCTTTTACTAAAACATCCAACTCAGCCAGGAGATGGTTGCTGTGATTTTTGGTTTTTGTAACTTTTATCCCACCATCCATTTTCTTCTGCTTATCCAGGGTGGAGTCATAGGGGCAGCAGGCTAAGCAGAGCGGCCCAGACGCCTCTGTTCACAGCCCCATGGGCCAGCTCAACACACCTCAACACTTTGGCTGCGCCTAGAAATTCTGTCCATAAAGTTATGAACAGAATTGGAGATAAAGGGCAATCTTGGCAGAGTCCAACTCTCACTGGAAATGAGTCCGACTTACTGCTGGCAATGCCGACCAAACTCTGGCACCAGTTGTACAGGGACTTAACAGCCCATATCAAAGGGCTTGGTGCCCCATACTTCTGGAGTACTTTAATCTTAAACAAATATGTTTTTCTCGTWAAATACATAAAGACTTCTTCAATTCCTTCAAAAACGTGTTTTTAGAAATCTGCTCTAGCACACTGGCTTTAAATTTAATTTATATGCCAGTGGTGTTTAGCAAGGCTTTCGCTCCTTTTTACTTTAACTAAAGTTCTACTACTTTTAGCTTCACGCTAACATTTTAGCTGATTTTTTGCTACTTTAAACTTTTAGCTAACTTACAGCATTTAGCAATAATATTGCTATTCTAGTTTTAGCTAATTTTCTGCTACATTTAGCTAGCTCTTTGCTACTTTTACCTAATGTTTTGCTCTTGTTAGTTCTGCTTTTGTAACAACTAATTTTCAGCTTTTTCCTGTTTCAAAAAAATGTAATTTCTTCAGTTTGGTCATTTCAGTGCAAATGCAACAAATGAAACATTAATGCTTTTGTTTTGATTGTTAATAAAGAATAGGACATGCTCGTGGCTTACCCATGGGGGGTGTGGCTAGTGTTTGCCTGCCCACGATCTGGGCGGGGCCAAGTCCATCCAGGAAGTCACTGAACTGGCTCTCAGGCCCCAGGCGTGTGGTAGGAAAGACAAACCTGATAAGGNGATGGATGGATGGATGGATGGATGGATGGAGCTAGTAGAACACTCACGTTCCATCAGAGCTATTAGAGTTGGTGCTGCCATCTGTAGACTCCTTGCTTCCTTGCCGCGTCACTCGATTCCTCATCTCCACAGCGATGCCGGTCTCTGTGCTCCTTCGGATGGTGCTACGAAGCTTCTTCATTCCACCATCTGAAAAACACAGAGGTCACATTTTAAAGACTCTTATTCCGGCAGGATTTATCATTAAGTATAAGAATCAGAGGAGGTATGCAGGATTAGTCATTCGGCTGCTTGGACACTTTGTGAATGATATGAAATGATCAGATTGATAAAGTTATAGTTGAAATGATTAGATCAGTTCTGCCAAACTGTTTCCTCAAGGTTTCACTTTTCAAAGCTTCTCTCCACCACTGAGGAGGAATTCAAATTCACCTTGAGAACACCCATCTCTCTACTATTTATTTTGAATCAAGCTCACTCAAGTGAGAAAGCAATCTCGCCTAATATCCTCTGGGATGTCCCTGCACTATTGAAAAATCTCTCCACTTTTCAGGTATTAAGACACCATTTTAAACTCACACACATAAAACCCATTCAGCAGTTGCTCCTGTGAGCAGGGAGCAATAAGTTTTTAGGACTCTGGTAGCTACAGTTGGCAGGTAGAAACCCAAAGCAGCAGCGCAGAAAGTGACAAAAAAAGTGAAAGACAACAGGGGAGGGGGGGGGGTGTATTTAAGCAACTCTGCTGACATGAGGTAAAACAGAACCAACAGGAGAGCAGCTGAACCCAGAAGAAGCTTTCCGTTTCAGGTGAAATGAGTTCACAGAATTTCACAGCAAACCTATGCATTTCTGTTAGAAAAGCTGTCTGCCACAAAGGATTTTAATACAAGTCGCCACTAAAACATGTTGCACAAAGCTAAATATGAGCAGTACATTGAAGTTGCAAGTACATAAACAACTTTTTACCAGAACCACAACCACAAAGAACTCTGCACTCAAGGTGTCTTACGCCGTTGCACTTCAGCTCGCTAAAGAAAGTGTTTGCTGTTTGATTTCTTCAAATGTGTTGTTTTAATATTTATTAAACAACAGTAAAACTGGTACACATGCATTTGAGCATGAAATATGTTAAGTTACTGCACTGTATGTTGGTTTAATAAACATACATAAACAGTAATACTCGGGGAGTTCCGGCAATATTGTATGGTTTCACCAGAAGTTTCCCAAATAGTGCCCTAACAAAATATAAAGCTTGTTATTGCCTCAACTCTACATGTGTATATATATATATA